TCGGCAAGGGGTATTTCCGTAAGCTGTAATCAATTGCTTTTATTCTCGTAATAATGTAATTCAAATAAATAAAAAAAAAACGCAAATTCGTGTGATGAGTGATTATATTCGTCCGTAATTTGTACAAATATCTTGTTTTTTGTAAGCGCATGAAGCATTTTCCACATTAAATGTTGCAATTCGTACGCAATTTCCAATTTTGATTCTTAAACACAAATTTTCAAATATATTTTAAAAATGTAAAATATAATTAGGAATTTGCTTTATCTGTAAGTGTAAAAACCTATTTTTCACTGTAAATGGAACTTTCATTTTATTTCCTGTAAAAACGTTGAAATGCCTTTTTTTTTATTTCTTGTAACCTGTACCAGCTGTCCCCCCTTGCCCCCTCCATTAATTTCCTCGAATTCTGCATTTATTTGATATCATTCTAACTGAGTAACTGCGCATGCTCCGATAAAGATGAATTATGGTCACACTCAATGATATGCAAATCTGGACCTGTAACAGTTGGTAGGGATAATATTTACTCAAACGTCGTGACGCACATCTTTTCAGTCGCTTTAATTGACGCTGTTGTATTTGCTGGCCGTTTTCGACAGGAAATCTATCCAAAATCTGAAGAGAGAAAACGGAACTCTATCTTATTGTTACATTCGTCTGTTTTAAAGCTTGACCTCCGTACGTGACCTCGAATTTCCGGAATTCTTTCTTATGCAAATTATCCAAAATGGCGCTGTGCTTCTGAATTGTCGTCGTTATTCCACTACATAATTTGTTTTAAACGATTATTTAGTAATTTTGCTGTCCAGTTTAGGTGAGTATAACTTCCTTTTACATAGAAATCAAGAAGTCGATGACTGTTGTTTAAAATTTTTACTGTGAGTTGTTTTTATCCTAACTACACACAATTCACCATCCCGAGTTCCACGTAAATACATCCTTATAAATACGATGCACTGTATACACGGTTACCATCGATGTATTAATCTATCGAAATCATCAATCCAACAGAAAACCGATAACCTATCAGTCATACTGTAAATTCTGTTTTATGACATTCAAGCCAATGGTCGGCGTTTCTCCAAACACAGAACTATTTTTGTGTGGATTCCCTCACTATACTAAGCTGCATTTCCGAGCAATACTTTCAAGTTGATGTCACTGTGGTGACGTGGTGAGGGTTTGGCGAAATTGTCGGTCGATACTGTAAACTACATGATGTATTGGGGTAGGTGGACACTGGAGGAAGTGGCTTGAATTAGAGTCATTGGTGAACCTTTAAATGTTATTTAAAGCTTGGAGAGAATTCTTTTTGCAGCCCCTCCCCCTCTCCCCACCTCCCACGAATATCAGGTAGAGGGTCGAAATCGAGGTCTTTCCTAAAGCTGTTCTAAAATAAAACCATACCCTGAAAACTGTTGAATCCAGTGATGCTAAAATGGAAATCTAGGTGATACCCTAAATATCAGAAAACCACTGTCTGTTCACATGCTTATATTTTTCTTTTGTTTATTACTGTTAAAAAGTTTAAATCTAGGCAGTATTTTATTTAAAGTTGGTTGTATAATTGTGCCTGTTGTATGTAAGTTGTCTCCTGAAAATCTTAGCATTTTATAGCAATAACAATTGTATGTTCTAAATTCTTCCGTGATGAATAAACTTAACTTTGACTCAATAGATTAATACTTTTAAAAACCTACACTAAGTTTTTGTTAAACATGGACAATATGTCCTGAAACCAAGTCCAAAACAGTGAAACACAAAATATGGAACACAATTGACCCTTAGTTTGTACTCTCAAAACTCTCAACTTTTGTAACTTTTGCAAAACAAACCTTCAAAACTTATGTTTGTTTTTTTTCAAAACTTGTAGCCATTGTTATGATTGCTCTGAAAGAAAATAGAAACTTTAAACATATATATAACTATCTATGTGTAAAACATTCTTTTAACTTTGAACGCTTGATGAACAGGGTGATAGGCACGTACTTGATTCTGTGGGGTTCAAAGGTCAGTTTATTGACAGTGATCGTAACAAATTTATCTGAAAACAGCATATTCTTTTTAAGAATCATTTGTTTTTACATAAATGTCTTTGATACACTAACACTGGGGCCTTTTGAATGGCATAACTAAATGTTGAATATTGAAGATATAAGAGGTTCTATATTGTACTACACATAGAATGGAACTCATGGCTTCCTTGTATTTGAACACTAATGAATATTTGGAGTTTATCCAACTAAACCTCATGGTCCTATATTTATACTACTGCTCACTGTAATATTGAGTTAACTTATAAAATAAACAGTACATTTTTCAGGGCCATGGTCTTAGTAAACACATCCATAATGTTATTTGTTTAACATTTTTGTGGGAAAATAATGTCTGTGCAATAAAATAATACAGGATTAGACAATTTTTATGTTATTCAATATTCGCTTAATACTTACTGGAAACTTTGAATTTTAATTTTATCATTTTCTTTTTTACATGTATTATACTTATGACTGCGTTTGTGAGGATAGAATAATGTGATCGTCATGGTTACTTATTAAAGACATAAAATGTCAACTTTTTTCCAGTTTTGCTAAAATCACCAAAGCTATGTGGTTTATAGTAATGTACGGTAGTATTATCTATAGTATCAAACCAGTGAAGCTAAATATATATTGACAATAGAAATGACTGCAGTGAGCTGTACACATAATTTGTATGCAAATATGGAATATTGCTTTACCAGTGTTTATAACAAGGAACCATATTGGTGAATTTTATAGACAAAATTCAGTGTAAGGAATTTGACCTTTAGATAATAATAATAATATTTTATTCAAAATTGGCCTTAACAATTTCATAATATGAGCAGCATACAGTTATAGGATATTTAATGTGTTAATGTCAGCATAATTCATAAAAGACAAATCAACCACCTTAACCAGCCAAAGTCCACATATTTAGCCTCCACCTTTTCACTGTATTTTGGCAAATTCTGTTCAACAAGCGCAGATTTAATTGTGCCCTCTTTGGCAATTCAACATCTAACTACATGTATTACGTTTTACAAGTTTTAAAGCGAGTATCATTTACCTATACATGTTACTAATATGAGAAATATTTAGGCAGATTTTGCTACATAATTTAGATTTACAATGTTTGGTTTTTTTAAAAGCAAGCTAAGCTTCAAGTCACCTTCAAGCTATATCAAGTCTCAAGTTACACTGTACTGTAGACCTGGTTAAATATTTTTAGTCATGTTGTTATTTGTACAGTATGTTATTTTTCTTGGCAAACATGAGGATAAGACATACATCGCAATATTTTTCAGATTTATTTAGCAAATGTAGTAACTTAAAATATGCTCCAATATACTTTCCTGATGTTACCTTTCTGTGGACAATTTTATGTATGATCATGAATTTTTTTTAAGAAAAATACTTTTCTTGAATGGGACTTAGCCATCATGGCATAAGTGAAACCCAGTCATTGGTGACTGATGAAGGTTTAGAAGAAGCCCTGTGATTGGTGACAGGCAATACATTTTTTTGAGAAAAATACTTTCCTTGAATTGGCCTTCATCATGGCATAAGTGAAGCCAAGTCCATCCCCTATATTTCTCAGGTTGAACAATTACCAAATAATGACACAAATGTATGGGATAATATATTTTACTTTCATTTATAGTACTTGTAAATAAATCAATAATATATCAACGGCCAAAACCACATTTAACCAGACACAGTGGAGGGTGCTATAGAATTGAATTTCTAAATCAAAATACATTTAAATCTTTTTGTAATATTTTATATTTAATTTATGACATGCATAACAATTGTGACCTTTCGGGACTGGCAAGGGTTAGTGGAAGCCCTGTCATTTGTGACTAGTTAGCAGAAGCCAAGCCATTAGTGACTGGTGAAGGTTTAGCGAAAGCCCTACCATTGGTAACTAGTGAAGGTGTCACAAAATGGCGGAAAAGCAGCCGTGGTGGTCGCCACTTTATGAACAAAACGAAACAAAATGACAATTGCAACTGAGTTCAAAGCAAGCTGCACAGACTATATTTATATCCAAGCATCATCAACAAGAACATGGAAAGTACAAGATGTAAATATGTTACCATGCAATGGTTTACAACCTTGGTGGGCTCATAAATTCTTACAATGGTTTAAGCGCTAAAAGATTTAACAATAAAGTGATACACTTATCTAGAGTTCTTGGCGATGTATGTCTTTTATTATAGTCAGCGATCTTGTCTCTCGAAGCACGGAGCAGTAAGCATCAACGTGGAATGAAAGCAGGTAAACAATGGAGACAGCACACGACCTAGACTGACAAAGTCGTGACTTCTTTCTTGTTTTACAAAAAGAAATAATTAATTGTTCTTTTAGTCATTTTAGTGTGATTGTGAAATTAATAACCTGGCCGCTAAAGAAATCCCGACTGGACGCATCTACAGGCATTTGTCTGCTATTAATTATTCATGATGTCATTGATTATTCATGAGTGGGTAGGTGAAAGGTTGCTTCGATTCGATCGCAGAGGTGGATACTTTAACTTTCTAAGTGCAAAGATACTTTCATCCATGTTTACTGAAAACAAGTGGATTTAAATGTCCATTGTATATTAAGCAGTCTTTCAAAATCGCCGGGATCTCAGAAGTGTAAGGTCACGTAATTAACATAGATACGATAAGACGTATACAGCTGCACTCTGATTCATTGTTAATGCTAGTCAACAACTGTTAATTAGCATAATCACCGGAGTGATTCCGCTCTGGTTTTCACTTTAACGCAAGGGGTCGCCTGCAGATGCGTCCAGTTAGGATTTCTTTCGCAGTCCCGTTTTCATTACAGAATCTGCATTTGCGAATACCACAAAGCGATACTTAATTACTGCGGTTATTTATCCTCTTCAACTCACTTCCTAACCAACCAACTCAGGCTTTACGGCTATTTCCCTGGAAGTACACAGCGATACGTCTCAAGCCAACCATGCCGACAAAAACGATGACATGGCCCATTGCTGATATGACATAAATTAGGAACTTGCCCATGAAATAACACACCTGTATTAGTCGTCTGGCACTCCCTGTAATCTAACGCTGTGTTCATGAAGGACTGTCTCATGTAAAAGTGGTGTTCCCGGACAATGAAACTTTGCGTGGTACTCGTACACCTGGTCTGCTCTCTCTGTCGTTCACTTCCCACGTGATCTCCGAAGATACCCGAAATTTTGCTTGGGGTCGAGCTAACATGCAACAATACCAGAAATTTAGTCATGTCAACCTGGTTTCATTCGGAGTTTCATGTAAATGTATAAAGTTACATAAATGATTAAATCTATTTCTGACAGAAGGCTTATTGGAAACCATGCCATTAGTGACTGGTGAAAGGTTAGTGGAAGCCCACCAGCCATTGGTGTCTGGTGAAGGGTTAGTGGAAGCCATGCCATTAGTGACTGGCAATGGACTAGTAGAATGCCAGCCATTAGAGATTAGTGAAGGAATAGCAGAAACCCAGCTATTGGTGACTGGTGTAACTTAGCAGAAGCCCTACCATTGGTGACTGGTGAAGGCTTAGCGAAAGCCCTTGCATTGGTAACTGGTGAAGGCTTATTGGAAGCCCTACCATTGGTGACTGGTGAAACTTAGCAGAAGCCCTACCATTGGTGACTTGTGAAACTTAGCAGAAGCCCTACCATTGGTGACTGGTGAAACTTAGCAGAAGCCCTACCATTGGTGACTGGTGAAACTTAGCAGAAGCCCTACCATTGGTGACTCGTGAAAGCTTATTGGAAGCCATGCCATTAGTA